CTCAGGCTGGTTTCGAACTCCTGAGCTCAAACAATCCACCCGCCTCGGCCTCCCAGAGAGCTAGGATTACAGGCGTGAGCCACCGCGCCCGGCCCGTGTCATGATTTTTATTGCTTTTTTTCCTGGATACTTCTGACCTGCAATTGGTTGAATCCACAGATACAGAGGGCTGACTATACTCAAAAATGGGGACCACTGGAAGGTAATTAGGTCATTAAGGCAGAGCCTGGATGATGGGTTCCCCACCACCACCACCACATGAGGACACAGTGAGAGGGTGGCTGTCTGATGGCCAGGAAGAGAGCCCTCACAGAAACTGAATGGGCCCATGCCTTGATCTCAGACTTCCAGCCTCCAGAACCACAACAGATAAAACGCCTGGTGTTTAAGCCACCCAGGCTATGGTACTGTTACAGCAGCCCAGGCTGACTACAACATCTACCTTTAGATGAAACAAACCTTTCAATAAGAAAGGTTTAAAAATGATATAAAATATATATATCTGGCCTTTGGCCAGTGGGGAGGTGACAGATTCATCAATAAGTGGCTTCCAGCTCTTGCCAAGACTGCAACCTGGCATAGGCTACTGGAACATTCCCCCCCACCCTGCACATATACCAGAAATCCACCATGCAAGCAGAATCAGCTTGCATCCAGTGCATGGCAGGGGCCCCTGGACTCAGAACACAGAGAAAAATAAAACTGACTCCCAACCTAACAGTGTGTGTAAGGGTGGATTTTGGACACATTAGAGATCTAGCTATGAATGGGAGAAGTACAAAGTGAAGCGAGCATATCTAATGATTTCTTAAACAAAACTTCAGAAGCACAAGCCATAAGCCAAAAAATGATTACTGTGTATTAAAGGTTTCTGTTCAGTGAAGGGCAAAATGGCAGGGAGCAAAATGACAGAAGATACCTATAATGTTCAAAACCAGCAAGTATTTAATATCCCAAGTATACAAAGAGCCCCTGTAAATCAACAAGGGGACAGCAACCCTAACAGAATAATAGGCAGATGCTGGCCAGGCACGGTGGCTCATGCCTGTAATCCCAGTACTCCGGGAGGCTGAGGCGGGAGGATCCCTTGAGCTCAGGAGTTGAAGACCAGTCTGAGCAAGATTGAGACTCCATCTCTACAAAAAATAGAAAAACTAGGCAGAGGGGGTGGCACATGCCTTAGTCCCAGGTACTTGGGAGGCTGAGGCAGGAGGACAGCTTGAGTCCAGGAGTTGGAGGTTGCAGAGAGCTATGATGACACCACTGTACTCCACCCTGGGCAACAGAGTAAGATTCTGTCTCAGAGAAAAAAAAGAAAGAAAAGTAGGCAGATGCTATTAAGAGGCAATGTACAAAGAGGAAATCTTAGAAGGCTATGAGTGATAGGACAGCCTGGCTCACAGCACATAATTGCCCCTTTGAAGGGAAAGATCACACACAACTAACCCTTTATTAGATTAACCACCTGTGGCTTAAATTGTTTTATTTGAGAGTTTTGTTTTTAACAGCCTCAAAGAGCCATGAGCAGACAGCAGGGGTGCAAGTTCCCCACCTCTGCCCCCAGCTCTCATCAGACCACATTCCAAGGATGCTGGTAAGCCAGCCTCACAGAGAAGAGAAAAAGAAAAAAAAAAAAAAAAAAAGGAAAAAACAGACACAGCTGCTTTTCACTATCAGCTGGCAGCAATCACTTTTTCCCCTTCTCCCTTTACCCTCAATAAAAAACCCAAGCCGGGTGTCCTCCAGGCCTACACTACTTTCTTTCTCTTGTGCCATGCCTTTCCCCGCCTTGGAAAGTAAAATAAACTTGCTTTAAAACTATTCTAATCTTTGTGTTGAGAATTCTTTCTCATTCCGCATTACAGTCTCCACTAACAATGAGCATAGGGACAAAAGTCCCAAATGAACCAGAGAAATCCAAGTGAACACAATGTGGCTCTTTCCAATCATGTGATCCACAAAAACAGAAAACTGGACAATGCTAAGTGCCCAAGGGGGTGGGATCCAGGTGTCCTCAGGTGCTGCCGGTGGAGTGTGGACACCACAATGCTCTTGCATAAGTAAATTAAGCAAACACATGTCCTATAACCCAGCAATTCCACCCTGGGCACAGATGCCAAATCCTTACAGCAATTATGGGGGAGCCGCACTACAGCGCAAAGCCAGAGGCACCACCACTGATGCTGGGGACAGTACAGCACACTGGGAGGACAGAGGCTGGAGACAACTGAGTAGGTCAAAGGTCAGCACGTTTTTTGTGAGGGGCCAAACAGTGACTATTTTAGGCATTTGGGCCACATAGTCCTTTTTTCTAAACAACTCTTTGATAATGTAAAACCATTCTTAGCTCACAGGATTCACAAAAGCAGGTCATGTGTCTCAATTTTCCAACCCTGGATTAGCTGAGCAGCAACTTGGATAAACATTAAAAAAAAAAAATTTAAAAACTTGAATGTATATGTAGAACAATATAATTTATATCAATTAAAAACATACGCCCCCAAAGATGTAAACCTTTACCAAGTAAGACCAGTGATGGCAAAGAACACAAGATGCTCACCACCATTAGTCATGGAAATGCAAAATGAAACCTATTAGAATGCTTGGAATTAAAATGTTGACAAGGGGGGCTGGGCGCGGTGGTTCATGCCTGTAATCCTAGCTCTCTGCTAGGAGAGGTGGGCGGATTGTTTGAGCTCAGGAGTTCG